ACTTCCATCTGGCTGTTTCTGAGTTATATACTCTTATAATAAATGTGTAACCTAATAAGTAAAATGCTTCTCTGAATTCTCAGCCGCTCTAGAAAATTACTGAACCCAAGGAGGGAATCATTGGAACCTCCAATCTATAGCCAAGTTGGTCAGGGGCATGTATAATGACCTGAACTTGCAACTGGTGTCTAAAGAGTGGTACGGGGTGGTACAGTCTTGTGGCACTGAACCCTTACCCTGTGGGATCTGACAGTATCTCCAGGTAGGTAGTGCCAGAACTGAGCTAAATTGTAGGACACCTGGTACGTGTCCGCTTAAAATTTGAAGAGTTGCTTGATGGTGTGGAAAAAGAACACACACTGGAGAAGGTGACAGCCCTGGCTGGCATCCTGACCAGCCCCCAGCCTGACCCTAGCCAGCTCCCAGCTTGGCTTTCTCACTGAGATACAAGGTGTGTCCCCAACTACTGCATTCTATAAGCTTTATAGAAAGGGCCCTGCCAGGGCCCGGCTAACAGGTAAAGGTGCAGCACAGTCACTGGTAATCCCACCCACAGGAGAAAAGGGGCACAGCAGCAACCCTTAGAGCACACGTAGGCATGCAGCACCTACTGCGGGGAGAGCGGTGGACAAAGCCGATCAGCATCCCTGCTCTTGTGGCACTGGAGTTGGAGCAGAGGAAGAGAGAAGCCATTAAGAAAATAAAAGAGGGGTCGGCCGAGTGGCGCGATGGTTAAGAACTGGCTTGGGATGCCAGAGGGCCCCGGTTTGGATCCCACATATGAGGGCCAGTGACACTGCCCTCTACAGCTAAGATGCTGAACAACAGCTCAACCTGGAGCTGGGCTGCCGTGAGTCGCCGGCGATGGCGTAGGCTGCAGCCCCTGTGGCAGTGGGTTGCCATGGGCTACCATGTGTAGCCAGCAGCCAGCGTGAGCGGCCAGCAGCCGCAGTGAGCGGCCGTCCAGAAGCCGGCGACTGATCTGCCTCGCCCGGGAAGAGCGCAATGATGGTGCCAACTTGGGCCAGTGAAGCAACGTCCTCCACAACTAGACTGATGACAGGATGATGTCATGTAACACGAGCTGCATAGGAACTAAGGCAGCAGTGACTGGGGGCTGGGGTGAGGGTGGGGGTCCCTGAGGGGAGCAGGAGGATGGTGCAGGGTGTACCAGGCAGGGAGCACAGTGAGCAGAAGGCCTGGAAGGTAGGAACAAATGAGCCCAGTTTGAGGGTGAGAAGGGAGATTGGGGCTGCAGCAGGGACCGGAGGAGGTAAGGTTCCATAGGCCAGCAAGGCCCCATCAGGGACACAAAGCCACCACGAGGAGGCTGGGAGCCAAGTCCTGACAACCCCTCTCTGGCTCCTGTGAGCACTGGCCAAGGTCAAGGTCAGGAGGGGAGGCTCAGGAGGCCCCCGTCATCCACATTCCACAGAAGAACAGTCCCAAGCACCCGGGGTTTATGAGGCACAGGCGTTGTTCCCAAGGAGCAGGGTTCACCTATGAGCCACCAAACTTCCTGATGCCTGAGGTCTGAGGTAATTTTTAAACAAAGCCGATTAAAACTAATGTCTCACCAAGACCAGTCTGGAGGAAGAGAAGCTGGACAGCACTGGGCGTCCCAGGAGCCAGAGAGGAGTGCTGAGCCCCAGCCTCAGGGCCACACCACAGCCACAGGGGTGCCAGGGCTACCAGGGAGGTGCCACTACCACCCCCATTTTATAGATGAGGAAGCAAAGGCACAAGAGAGGGGAGCTACTTGTCCAAGGCCCCAGACAGTAAAGGGTGGCAACGTGGCTCTGAGTTGTGTCCCAGTGAGACAAAAGTTCAATCTTTAGGAGCCCCTAGAGGGGACCAGGAGCCCCAGCCATCACTGTGTCCCACACCGCACTCAGCTTCCTCCCTCCCATCAGCGGCGTGTCCCACCACGCACCCATAGCCCCCAGCCCCAGCGCCTTGGTGGCCTCCACACCTTGAGGTCATTCTAGACTGCCCTTCACACCAAAGCACTGCTCGCCTGTCGCCAGGCTAACCTCTCCCAGTCCTCCCCACCTGTACTCCTGTCCCTGCCTGTTGCTCCTCCACAAGGCAGCCAGTGGGCTGTGCCATCTCTCCCCACCCCGAGTGCTACTCGGGCTCCCATAACTTGAATCCCTCACCACGCCTTCCATGCACCACGTGCCTCCTGGTCCCTCCCCAGCCTCACCTCACGGCTTTGCACACTCTTGCCCCTGCCTAGAATGTTCTCCCAAAGTACGGCCAGTGTGTGATATACTCTCCCACAATGTCCTGTACTTTCCCCTCTCAGCGAGGCTGGGCTCAGGGGGCGCTGGGACCCTAAGAGAACTCACATTGCCTCACTGGTATCTGGCCCACACCCAGCACGGAGAGGGCACATATCTATTTGGGGCCTTAAGAGACCTGGAATGCCATAATCAGATGGGGAAGGGCGGGTATGCAAGCCCATGTGGGATACCCGCACCCCAGCCCAACAGAATCAAACTACATCTCCACCTCCACAGAAGCCACCCTGTCCCTACCTGTCCCGGGCACCTGATCCCACCTCCTCCTAGGTGCCCCTGCAATGGTCTCTGTGCTCTCTTCTCCACCAGCTAAATGATCTGGTTAAGTCACACCTCAGCCTAAGGCCATACTCCCCAAGCGTGAGTTTAAAACAGGGCTTTCAAGATCACCCTCCCGGGGGCCCTCAGGCAAGTGGCTTCAGCTCAGAAGCCTCAGTTAGGTCCTCTGTGAAGTGGGGATAACAGGAATGGAGATTTCAACTTAATCTGGGTCAGGCACTGGGCAGATATGTGCCCACAAGTTCCTGCCCTTGGTGTTCCCGGAGGGCTGCTGTTCATCATGTGCTTCTCCTCCCTCCCCCAAGAAGGAATTTCAGTTCCTCTAAGAGGCCACTCTGGCATCAGGGCCTCACGGTCCTCACACATATTGCTCTCTGCTGGGAAGGGGAGTTCCCTCCTTCCCCGACATACCCATTGAACCGTTAGCCTCAGCGCACACATGGCTTTCTCGAAAAAGCTCCCTGATGTCCCCGCCCTCTGTGATGGAGTTACCCTCCCCCCACCACACATGCTCCCATCTGATGAGAGCCAGGCCTGTGTGTCTCCTTCCTGGCCTCCCTCTAAGTCTCCCTCATCTGTCTCTGGGCACTAATGAAAGTGCCAGGAGAGGAGGTGGCAAGTCCTGGTCCTGTTTACCTCAGTGTCCCAGCTCTGGACCAGCCTATGGCACAAAGTGCTCCGTGGACCACTGCTGGGTGACAACCACTATGGAGGTGATGAGGGAGCCCTCCTACCATGACATGGTCATGACCTTCCTGTGCAGGAAGCCAGCCAACCTGTTCTCCCAGCAAGCTGCCCCTTAACAGGCTGGCAACAAGCACAACACCACAGCCATTTGTACAGCACCCCGCAGTGAAGGCCTCAAGTGTGCCTGGCACTGCTTTAAGGATGTACCTATTCTAAATAACATGGTCTTCATGGCAAGCAACCAATAGAAGGCATTGCTATTATTATCTCCACTGTCCAGACAGGAAACACGGCTGTAAGCAGCAGTCCCTCCTCAGGGGCCAGCCAGCCAGTAAGCTGCAAAGCTGGGACCGGAACCTGGGCAATTTTAGCTCCCAGCCCCTACCCACCAGGGCAGAGGTTTTCCCAGTGTGGTCAAGAGCCAGGAGCATCAGCACCACCAGGGAACTCATTAAAATGCAAATTATCACCCTTCTACCCCATCAACCTGAAACATGGGAAGCAGAAACCCAACAAGCCACGCCCTCTATGGCTTTGATCCACGGACTCTGAAACCTGCAGCTCTACTGCTGCTCGTCCTGGCACAGCAGATTAGACATCCGAACCCAGAGGAGTCAGCCCAGTGGCTCATCCATGGCCCATGACATGGCAGAGCCCACAAAGAGGAGGTGCTGGCCAATCCACTGCTGCCCTTCATTGGAGCGACGCCCACCAACAGGCGGGTAGGATGGAGTCAGAAGATGAAGGCACGAGGATTGGCACAGCTCTAACATCAGATCCCAGATTTGGTGCCAGCTTCTTAGAAAGGCAGGTAACCTGGCCTGGCTTCCTCTTCCCCATCTGTAAAATAAGGGTGAGTCAGCTGCCTTCCCAGTGTCGAACTGGCCTGGGCTGACACTTCAGGTCAGTACGGAAGCAGCACAGAGACCCTGAATGGAGACCTCCGCAGGGCTCTGGAGAGAAGAGAAGACCCACCCTGATGGCTCCTGTCTCTCCTCCACCTTCTTGCCTGGGATGCTTTCCAAGGATGCTTTCCTGGGATGCCTGAGTGGGTTTTAAGCTGGAAGACACGCCCATGTCATGTCAGACTTATGTGAGAAGAGCAGAAATAAAACTGAGGCCACCAAGGGGAACACAGAAAAAGAAATCTACATGTGAGCCATTCTTTATTCAACAGGAGGTTCTCTCCCAAAAGTCAACGTCATAATTAAAAAAAAAAGGCAGGGATGCTACTCTAATGAAAACTGGAAACGATGGAGTGTTGCATAGGCTTGATGAGAGCAGCTGTAAATGAGCCAGGGGAGGTATTTGGGGGATAACTGGCAACATAAGTCTAGACTGGCCATTAGATAACATGCAGGAATGATTACTTTTCTTGGGTGTGGTCTGTGACTGCAGCAGAGTGTCCTTACTGCAAGAGGAGGCACAAGGAAGCATTTGGATTGATGTCACAATGTCTACTACTGATTTTGAAACGTTCAGCAAAAACATGTTATCCACAATACAACAAGCACATATGGCACCTGGCGGCCTGTTCACGGCTGAGGACTCTCGGGGTGGGGGTGGGGGGGCGGTGTTCAGTTCAGTGAACTGTGCTTCAACTTCCCTGCACACGTGGAAAACACGAATTAAAACCCAGCCATCAGAGACTCCATCGTAAGCCGTGTGGCTCCTGTTGGACACGGCATCCACATTAATTTCTTGCTACAGCTTTGACGCACCCCACTGTACCTGTTTTTGAGAAGATGAGCTGCAGAATGAGAGGCCGCCGGGTGACGATTCCTGAACCTCGGGGAAGGAAGTCCCTGTGGGAGGGGAAAGGGACAGAAATTACTCATGAGGCTGGTTTTGCAGGACAGGAAGTATGACCACATGTGGTGGAGCAATCCCCTCTTGCAATTTGGGCGACCTCAGCAAAGACACCAACCCCAGCAGGGCACTGGGGAACGCTCTGGCCTTGAAGGGTCCTGAGATCACAGGGGGTGGGGGACAGGGAAGGACTGGATGGAAGGTTAGTGACAAATGGAACCATTTCCCTCTAGCTGGCTGTGCTCCAGCCCCAGCACACCCAAAGGGCCTTTTCCTTAACAAATATTTTAACCATCTCCCCCAGACCCCAAAGAGATCAGTATGTTTCCTACATACATGTTTTAAATTAATATAATGCCATATATATGATACAAAGACTAAAAGGAAAGTAGTTGATGACGAAATATGTTTCGTATCCCAAAAAGACAGTAGTGGAAAACAGAGAGGAAGGAGCTTTCTGGGGTGATGGAAATATTTTAATACTGGACTGTGGTGGTTTGCTAACATTTACTGTAAATTTACTAAAAGTCATTGCATTTCAACATTTGAAATGGGTGAATTTCCTAGCACATAAGTGACCCCTCAATACAGCTTTTTAATTAAAAAATATGTCATATATTTCAATACAGAAATACTACCTGCACCAACTCTTAGACTAGTACACATGGATTCAGGCAGAGTAGGAAGACCAGAAGCCACCCTGGACCATTAAGAAAGGAAAGCGAAGGAGCAGGGATCCAGGTGGGCAATGGAATAGAAGCAGCATTTTCAGAGATTAAAGCTATGCAAAGGACCCTATTATTTCATGTAAAATGGAGAAAGATTCTAGGCTCAGGGAATTTCAAACAAGGTTTGCACCCAGATAAATGTTTGGATTATCTGAAATCTGTGCAGGACACAGAACAATTGGGGCTGAACAGGTGTGTCTCATATATGGCAACGTAACAGTGTTCCTGGGTTCCTAGCGTAGTGTCACTGGTGCCACCTCACCAGTACTGCAGTTACCAGTGTCTCAGAGGGCACCCTACCTTTGTTGGGAACCCCTGTTGAGACCGTGGAGGACACCAGAGGTGGCCCTCTCAGCCCGAGCTGGGCATCAGAATCCCTGAGAACGTGTTAACCCAGTGTGCAGAAGGAAGAAGTGCACCTTCACCAGCACACGCTATGCACAATGGGGTCTGAGCCCCATTAGCCTGGGGGCTGTCCCAACACACTCATGCAGCGCCTCCACTGGCTGGGAGCAGGGACACAGCAGTGACCACATAACAGGTCAACCTGCACCCTCATGCAGAACTGCAGCCCAGCCCGAGAAATGAGGGACCCTCCATGGGCTACAGGGCTCTGAGGGCCCCCATAGGGGTGCTGCCCACAAGCAGCAAAGCGGGGCACTCAACTGGACGGGCCCAGAGAGAGGTGGAGTGAGGATGGTGCTGGCAGTCATGAGAAGGCTGGTTGTCATTCTTAGAGCAAGGCCACCCAATGGGGTTCAGGGACAGTCAGGTTATAACTGTGTGTACTTTTACAGGTATGTGGCTTTAAAAGACCCTTCTGGCTGCTGCAGGTATGAGAGCGGGAGCCATGAGGCAGGCTGAATGCATCTGCACTGACACAGGTGCGCGATGATGGGGCTGGCCTGGGAGGTGTTAAGAACACAAACGGCAGTGGACAGACACTGGATGGAGCCAAGAGGAGTTTAGGGGATGAAGAGCCATGACCAGGGACCAGGCTGGACTGAGACCAGTGGAGGGTGGGAGGGGCCAAAACAGAGAGAAGACCATCCGCAGCACTCGCATGAGCCCACTTATGGTTGGGAGAGCCCAAAGCCCCTGGTGACATAGTCAACCTTCCATACCTACAGTGCTACCCGTGCAGCCTAGTTCCTGAGGATGACAAAAGACCCCATGGGCTATGCCTGCCCTTCGAGGAGCATTTCATACCCACTTCACCCAGCATGACCCCATAAACTATATACTCCTATTCTCCCATTTGGCAGATGAGGAGACTGAGGTGCAGAGAGGCTATGTGACGTGGCCAAAGCCACATGCTCATTCACTCAAGTATTACTCATGCCCACCAAGCACGATGGAGGTGCTGGGAACACCAGCACCAACATTCTGAGAGAAACCACATGAGATGTGGGGGTGGGGACAGAGAAGACACACCATGGAGATTAGGCGGCTTGGGGCTGGAATGGTCAAGAAAGGCCTCTCTTAAAAGGGAAAATGAGGGGCCGGCCGAGTGGCGCGATGGTTAAGAACTGGCTTGGGATGCCAGAGGGCCCCGGTTCGGATCCCACATAGGAGGGCCAGTGGCACTGCCCTCTACAGCTAAGATGCTGAACAACAGCTCAACCTGGAGCTGGGTTGCCGTGAGTCGCCGGCGACAGCGTAGGCTGCAGTGGGGCTGTGGTAAGCTACTTTGAGTGGCCGGCAGCCAGTGAGAGCTGCCAAGTGCCACCATGAGAGACCATCCAGTGACGGGTGACCGATCTGCCTCACCCAGGAAGAGCGCAATGATGATACCAACATGGACCAGTGAAGCGACATCCTCCATAACTAGACTGAAGAACAAAAAGACAGCAACTTGTCTGTTTCCCTCCCCCAATTCCCCAATAAAAAATCTTAAAAAAAAAGAAAGAAAAAAGAGAAAAAGCTTGGCTTCTAAGAAAAAAACATTAAAAAACAAAAAGGGAAAATAAGAGGGGTAACCGGTTAGCTCAGGTGGTTAGAGCACAGTGTTCATAACACCAAGGTTGCTGGTTCGATCCCCACATGGGCCAAGGAGCTGCGCCCTTCACAACTAGATTGAAGACAACTACTTGACTTGGAGCTGATGGGTCCTAGAAAAACACACTGTTCCCCGATAAAATCCTTAAAAAAAAATTACATTTTTAAAAAAAGGAAGAAAATGAGGGGCGGGTGTGGTGGGCAGGGCAGGAGAAACAGCAAAGAGGCCACATGTGGGTAACCAAACCCCAAAGTAAACTTTAGCTCAGTCCTCGCCAGAGGGGGTACCCAGTGTCTCCTGGAGAGCAACACCCCTTCATAAAGGATGCCAGGCTCTCCCAGGGATGCAGCAAGCCTGCTGGGGGCTGTTAACCTCTAGAGCACCACACATGGCCTTGACCCTGGCTCCCTGCAGCCCCGGGCCACCTGGCTCACAGGCAGGACCTGAGAGGTAGGGACAGAGGCACCTTGCACATCAGAGACCATGGGTGCTGGCCCTCTGACATAGAATCACCAGCAGCAGCGGTGACACTGCACGCCCTTCACAAGAATGTCCCACTCCACCTCTTCCATGCAAATGTAACACGTCAGTGACCAAACAATACATGTGAACGAATCCCCAACATCTGTCTGTTCGGTTCCTCCATGCTGATATGTGTGACCAAAGCTGGTTCCTTTTCATTGCTGACCCAGGTGCCACTGCATGGATGGACTACAGATTGTTCATCCATTCACTAGTTGATAGGACATTTGGGGTCTTTCCAGTTCAGGGCCTTAAGAAAACTGCTATGAACATTCTCATACATGCCTTTTGTAGACATATGCCCTTGTTCCTCCTGCTGAGTCATAGGATAGTCTTGAACCTGAACAGGCAAAACTAGTCTCTACTGATAGAAATCACAGAGCAGTCGGTTCTCTCTGGGGAAACTGACTGGAAGGGGCATGAGGGGACTTTCTGGGATGATGACAGCATCCCCTTTCTTGATCTGCCCAGTGATTACCGGGGTGCATGCATTTATTTTAAAAATCAATGTGTAGGTGCTGGCCAAGTGGCTCAATTGGTTAAGAGCTCGCTCAAGAGTGCGAGCTCTGAGCAACAGCGGTTCGAGTCCCGGCCCGAGCTAAGCTGCTGCTGAGCTGCCAACAGGTGGCAGGATGGCTCAGCTAAATAAATAAATAAATAAATAAATAAATAAATAAATAAATAAAAATCAAGGTGTTTACTTAAGATTAAGTGGCTTCCTGTATCTAAGTTAAATCTCAATAAGGCCACAAGTACAAATAAGTCCAGGAGCATATGCTCGAGAGGACTCAGATAGGAAAGTACAGAGAGAACACTGCATTAAAATTTGCCCACGGACCACAACTAAGATTGAAGGCCAACAATTTGGCTGTTCCACTTCTCCAATTCCCCAACACTGTTCCCCTCCCCCAGTTCCCCAATATAATCTTTAAAGAAAAAAAAAATTTTGCCCACAGAATCATTACCATCTTGTTAGTTTCCCTGTAAGAATAGCTCAGATCTAAAGAACTTTAAAACCCATGGTGGGGGAATTAATTAAATCATTTAGGGCCCATTCACACTACTGTGCAGCCATCAAAAAGAAAAAATAAAAAGCTCTTTATCTCCTGACATAAAACTTCTTTCTGGATGCACAGAGGAAAACAAAAGGCGCAGAAATGTGTCTGTTTTACAACTGAAAGGAGAAAACAAAAATCAAGCCCATGGAGGTTGGGGCCTGTTGGCAGGGAGAGTCAACCCAAGTTCTGGAACACCTTTGAGTTGTGCATCATCCACATGGATTAGTGACTCTAAAAAATTACTTGTTTTTAAAAGTAGTTAACCCTTGTCAAGCGCTCACTGCATGCCAGGCGAGGAGCTGAGAACTTTGTGGATTTATCACTTTTTTTTTTTTTTAATTTTTATTGGGGAATTGGGGAAGGGGAACAGCTTTGGGGAATCGGGGAAGGGGAACAGACAAGTTGCTGTCCTTTTGTTCTTCAGTCTAGTTGTGGAGGACGTCGCTTCACTGGCTCATGTTGGTGTTATCATTGAGCTCTTCCCAGGTGAGGCAGATCGGTCGCCGGCCACTGGACGGCTGCTCACGGCAGCTCTTGGCAGCTCACACCGGCTACCAGCCGCTCACGCTGGCTGCTGACCACACACGGTAGCTCACGGCAGCCCACTGCAGCTTCACTGCAGCCTACGCATCGCCAGTGACTCATGGCAACCCAGCTCCAGGTCGAGCTGTTGTTCACCATCTTAGCTG